CGGAGCGGAAAAAACGCGGCAGCCATGTTCATGCAAATGCCGCGGAGGATATTTAAATCCCCCACGGCATTTGCAATTCCGAAGTGTCTCCGAAAAGGGTGCCAATGTAGACACAGCCCATTAGAAGCAGCTGATATAGAATAGGTAGCAGGGCGATATTGGGGCGATATATTTGCAGGATATTTACTCACAGCTAATGCGCTTTTAAGTGTTTTGATCCGCCCTATAGTATTGCGATGTATACTGATGCTTTTAGGACTGGCTCTGTGTCTCTGTACGCAGCAAGTGGTTTCTCGTGGGGCTCGTATTAAAGAGCAGTTCCGTTGGCAGCTGATATAGAATAGGTAGCAGGGCGATATTGGGGCGATATATTTGCAGGATATTTACTCACAGCTAATGCGCTTTTAAGTGTTTTGATCCGCCCTATAGTATTGCGATGTATACTGATGCTTTTAGGACTGGCTCTGTGTCTCTGTACGCAGCAAGTGGTTTCTCGTGGGGCTCGTATTAAAGAGCAGTTCCGTTGGCACATTCCTGCTAAAAAAGCAAACCCCAGGCCTGTCTCTAGCCTGGTGTGTGTAAACACGCAGGCAAGGCCGGGGAGGCAGGAATGTTTGGAATAACAATGCCGACGAAGCGTGGGATGCGAGACCACGCCAAGAACACACCGCAAGCAACCTTGTACTGGGACTTCTGGTTCTGATCAGCAAAAACGACAGATGCAGCCGTTCAGCTGTCAGCTACGCCCAGAGCAGCAGCATCCTGAGCAGGAGAGATCCCAGATAGGGGCACTGAGCATGTGACTTATCCTACCCAACACGTGATCAATTGGTCGATAGTATTAGAACGACCGAGTCTCACTTTGCTATAAAATGGGCTGAGTCAGAACAATCGACAGGCGGGAGGTTCTGCTCGATGTAACTAGAAGTAAATAGACCCTTCCCACCAGCGGCCCCAATGCCTGGTGTCCCGACAGGTGGGACACAAAGGGTCCACAGCCTCCTGCCTAGTACTGTAGGTGGCATATGGGTGATGTGTCAGTGAACTAGGCTCTATGATTGTATTATAGTAGATCTTCTATGAACTGCTTTTGTGTTGCTTTGTGCTGTATTAATTGCTTTAGAATTTATCATATTTAAGGTTTACATTGTGTCGTAATGGTTTGTAAGGCTTGTAAAACTTAACCAACTATAGCAACTACATAAAGTTGGCAGTAAGTAGGAAAGTGGTTCAGTAGCCCTGGAGTGTCCTGGTTTCCCTTGGATCTAAAATAAATCGAACCACACCACAGCCTTTGTGATTGTCGAACCACACCACAGCCTTTGTGACTGTCGGGAGAACCGTGCCCTGCTGAAGCGAGCAGCAGCGGAAGATGTACTGCGCTGCAGTTCCAACGGCCATCGTTAGGCTCCAGAGTCAACAGCGTGTGACTCTGAAGTGGTGGAGTCACGTGTTAGCTCTATGTCTGTCTGGGTTGGAAGGTCGCAGGGTTAACGCCGTGCTGGGCAGCCCCCTGTGGAAGGGATCCCTGCTCCTGAGCCCTTCCCCCAGGCTCTATGCCGACTCAGGCAGACAGGCGGGATTCATGGGGCTGTTATCCCTGGCTCCCCATCCCCCGCACCCTTCTCCCAGAGCTGTGCCCCATGGGTTGCTTTGTGGTGGGCAGCACAGCTCCCCGGTCATTGGGGGGGCAGCCAAGCAGGGGCTGTGCGCTGGGGGGTGGGGCTCTCTCAAGCCCTGACCCACCAAGCTGATCTGGCACCTCTCCAGTGACCGCCCCCCCCCAGCATATGAAATGAATCCAGGCAGGTTTCACCCCAAATGGAATATTTGTTATGTTCATAAGCACACGGGGAAAAGGCAATACACTGTGTTTATTGAGAACACAGCAGAGAAGCAGTAAGCATCTGCATACACACACACACACACACAGAAAAACAAAGGCAGACCCTGCAGATGGTGCATAGTTCACACACACACACACACACACACACACACACACACACACACACAGAGAGAGACAGACGCCGCCCCCCCAGA